AAATAGACTGTCGATGAATAACGAATTTTTCTTGATAATGAAAAGGCTAATTATTTACATTGTTCGGACTGTTGTCCTCATATTTATTGCCTTACTCACGATGTTTCAGTAGTTGTACGCCCCGGCCATCTTCAGGTGGTTGGAATTTCGAAGTGAACCATTTATTTCGTCCAGTGGATAAAAGCGTTGGTTGGATCTAGTGATTTAATCCAAAGAGTTGCGAGTTCAATACCTGGTTACTGCAGTGGTGAACAATAATGATAATACATTAGACGGTGGGGTAATGGATAGCGACTTGAATTGAGAAATCGGTGAGCTGTTCGAATTCCAATAAGATCCATTTACGTGCTAATACCTTTGGGAAATGTATGAATCCTCTTCTTCACACCCCAGCTATGGGTAAATAGCAGGACAATAGCGGGTTCTATAGCTTTGGATGGCAATTAGTCTACCGCAGAAAGAAATGGCAACCTATTGCGAGGAAAAAAACCTGCCTCGTCAGTCAAGTATCGAAAGATACATGATCGTCTATGCGTGTATCACGCATGGCACATAATTGACTGATGTTATTATTGATATGTTTATATAATCAATACTATACTTTTTGTGTACACTATTTTTTGGTTTCATTAGTATATACCTACTTTTACATCCCTGTATATGTATGTGTGTGTATTCGCTAATTTTCTTACAGAGTCGGTCATGTGACTAAGTGCTTCTACCATTGCATCACGTACCACTACGCCATACTGGCGGCTAATGTCGCGTTATTCAAGTAGTACAAATCACAAAAGGTTTAAGAAGAATGAAACAAAAAAAAATGCTTCGTCCAGCTAATAGTCTTTGAACAGAGAAACTAAAACCATGAACCTACCAACACAATTGTCGATTTGCTTTTTGGACAAATATGGCCGCAGATAGTGGGTTTTTCGTGTTGTTGTTAGCGGCGTTACACTTACAAAATACTGTTACCTTTTCACAATGTCATATAAAATGGCGTGCACTTAAATTTTGTTAAGCCTGCTGATGTACTAACGATTATTGTAGAATAAGTCTATCGTGCTTTAGTTAAAAGCGGTGAAGCCCGGGGCTGTAGCAGTGAACTTCACGAAAGCCCTTGACAGTGGCATTCAAGTTTTCTCCAGAAGCAGAAAAGCTACGGTATTTCCGGGCACGTTTTTGAGCTAATCCAGCCGATTTTATCAAATCAGGAAATGAAAGTTGTCATACACGGCAACTCTTCTACATTCTTTTTTACGAACACGAGTCTCCCCTAGGCCTCCATCTTTGTTCCAACGTTATTTTTAATCTTCATTAACGACATTCCCGATGACATCAGCTCTCAACTTGCAGATAAACTTAAAGTCGGTTTACTGTGTCGAGCGAGACATTGTTTTCTCTCCGGAGTCAATCTTGCATATCTATAAGTCTACGATTCGCCCATGCTTAGAATATTGCTGCTATAAATGGTCCGATGTCAATTGATATATTCTTGGAGGTCCTCGATAACCGATATAATGTATTGCTGGTAATATTTTTTCTTCTTCAAAAAGCCTATTTTTTACACTTTCAGGGTGTTTTGACCCCAGTGTGGGAGTTAGCTATTTGACCATAGCTGTGACCCTAACAGATGCTACCACCCCAGGTCAGGGTGGACCTGGGAACACTAGCAATTAAGAGATGGATCCACGCTCCTCAAGGCCTACTGATCAGACGCCTTGCTTTTGGATGAAGTTTATCGTCTTACCCAGGACGGACAAGTAGATACGTGTGTGTATGTGTGTGCATGTGCGAAGGAGTGAGAGTTCAGCCAACAGAAAACCAAAGAAGCGAGCGTGCCTCGGTGGCAGCGTTATCTACATTCGACTACATCTTGAAGCAAGTGGAAAAAAGAGGTAGAGGGAGAATGTGTTTGCCGTTTCATAGATTTAAAAAGTGCACTGTAATGAGCGTTTATGGCAAAGCCAAGTTGGGTGAACCGCAGTATAAAGATTTACTAACTAAAGCCGTCATGAGTTTATATTTGTGTTTCTTAACCTTGTGATACAGTTACCGACATTTTTAAAATGTAAAGGGCTAACTATTCGGAAAAGAGAGCGTTATCATTTTTTATATGCTTTTAACTAGTCTATGAAGAGCGCTTCCATTACAAACGTTCGTCACTTAAAAGTAGGGGCTTCCGTGAATTTGTTAGAAACAGTTTTCTTGATCCTGTACTATCCTAAGGAATATAAATTTTAAATTTAGAAAACTTCGGCAAAAGTCACAGTTCCTGTTGAATTCAGTGAAGCATAAACATCACATTAGTTACTGATGTAAGTTTTGGGTAACGAAGTAGTGTAATACCAAAGACTAATGGACTGATCTGAAACAAACTCGGCTAATGAGATTTTTATGCGTTTACAGGAAGAGCCTAAAGGGGATCTGGTCTAATTCGGAGGCAGGAGAAGAAAACACTGCACCAAATAAAGTTATTTTCTTGATGTACGGAATGTCATCGCCTAAAGTATTCTCCAAAAGCATACATCTTGTTTATCTTGGCTTCAGTCGAAAGATAGTTGTATCAAAAGCCTGAAAAGAATTACTGT